TGCGCCGCCTGGGCAAGCTGGCCCCGCCAGCCCCCGTCTGCCTCCCCTCCCGGGGCCGGGGCCGCTGTTGGGGTCCCAGCCGAAATAAGGGAAACGTTTTCTCGTTTCTGGAGCCCGTACCCGTGCTCGCGTTCCCTGGAAAGGTCGCCGAGTGCCGCTCCTTGCACGCTCGCTCCTTGCACCGCAACTCCACCCGTGAGAGGTCTTCTGTTCCCCCTGACAGCTGGCTTATTTGAAAACAGTAGCTTTCAAGAATTGGAAACTGTGTCTGATAAAGTTCTGCGTGTTACTTAAAATTCAGCATGCAGGCTCTGCAAGTTGTTGTGATGAAGGTTTCCAAAGTATCTTCAAAAATACTTTTTTCTCCTGTTGGCACTAAATGAAGTCCTTAGAAAGCAAGGACAGATCTGCGGCACAAATTTTGTTTGGTGATTTGGTTTTGTTTTGTTTTTCCTGCAATGAAACACGTCAGTTGGGACAAAATTTCTTCCCCACCGTATCACACAGTCCAACATTTAGTAAACACTGTTTTGAGAGGAGTATTCTCCATGCTGTTTTTCTGTTGTTTAAAGGGAGAACTTGTAGCTACTCACATTCTTGTCTTGATTTTGTTTTGTTTTCAGCATCCAGAATAGTGCTGTCATCAGAGCCGTGTGTGGTCCTCTCACAGAGGTGTGATATCCCAAAAGCGGTGGGACCTGTGTGATGAGGACCTGCAGTATTTGCTTTCAAAGAATAGAGTTTTTGGGGTATGCTTTCTTTATGAATTTATCTGTCAGAAGTGTGTTCTGCATGAAGCATGCTTTTGTTCCAAGTACATGGGAACCATCAAGTTAATAGGATCCAAGAAAAGAAACGTTTGCGGTGGAAAGCCCCAAGCTATGTGAGCCACTGCCTGCACTGATAAAAAGACCTTTGTATCTATAGCCGAATTTTGTATGGTTTTGTATGTTACTACATTATCTGAGCAGTTCAGTTGACTAAAATTAGGTAAATGGCTGTTCTCTTTGAATATTAGAAACACTATTTGTTCTTTTTTGTTCGTGATATACTGTAATTGTTGTGCTGTTCTTTCAGTTGAATTCTATTAGAAAAGGAAAAATCACACAATATTCCAAGAACAGAGAGGAGCATGTGTATTTGTGTAGTACTTATTTTGTGTGGAATTAGTGGTGAATTTGTTAATCATCTCAACATCCTGACATTTGAGAACGAAGTTCACAAGCCGGTATGTTCGCTCATGCTCATCAACTCAAAGCAAAAACTTCAAACTGCTGTTGTTGGAATACCTAATGCCCTGTGTTCTCCTAGAATCAGAATCCAGGCTGGAATAAGTAGTTTAAGGTTACAGGTTAGAAGATAGAGAAGATTGTATTGTGTGGGTCTTCCATAGTCTTCCTCTGATGTCTGTAGAGGACGTGGTTGGTTAAATGTCTGGAATTCTTGCTTGGCACTGCTACTAGCTGAGCCTGTCAGTTATTGCAAAATATTTTACAGGGAAAGATTGTCAAATATGACTTCACTTCCAAAGTAATTTCCTGGTCAAAACATCCTGTACTTTTTGTACTTGTAATATTAATACACTCATAAATACCAGGCAGGCTTTTCACATGGTTGTTTCACTTTTTCTTTTCTTTTTTATTTTTTTTTTTTAAGGGAGAGACAAAATGAACCCTTTCTTTTTTCTGGGTTTTGGACATTCTCATCTAGTCTACTTCTGGAACAGAAATATAACTTCGAACTCAACAAATGAGACATACTGCTACAGCACTGCCTCGGGCAGCACAGTGCTCCAAGGAGTAACTTTTGGTGGAATCCCAACTGTCCTGCTGCTTGATGTAACATCCTTTTTTGTAAGCCCAGTTTCTATTTCTTGTATTGAAAATCCTCGTGGCCTTCTCGGAAGTTAGATTGTTCAGAATTCTCCTATTTATCAGGTAGGGACTTGTTTCTGAGAATCTTCAGAGTAAGAAATGTGCTCAGGCTATCTTGGGAACATCAAAACACTTTTCAAGTATTGATAAATGTTCACATATGTGTGGGATGACAGTGTCACTGTATGTTGGATGTGTAGATATAGAGAGAGTGCAGTATCATAAGGTCTGTATGTGGAGTCACGGTGGGCTTCGTAGCGGTAGCTCAAATTTCTGTTCTTTCTTAACTGCAAGAACCTTTTTTCCTTGCTCTGGGTTTAAGTACTGGGTGCCTTTTCAGGAAGGGAACACCACTGCTAACTTGGTTGTTTTTCAAAAGGAAATACAGTGCGGAAAATCTGTCTTTCACATATTTATTTATTTATTTAAAATTAGATTTCATGAAGCTGTCGAGGAAATAATGTACTGATCAGCTCAGTCCTGACCAAAGCAGGAATAGGATTAGTTCTTGGTCTGGAGGTTCTAAAAAGGGAGCTGATCCAGAGGCCTGGGACTCCAATAAAACTTATGGTTATTTCTGTAAGTTTGGTCTAGGTGATCTTAAGCCAACAAAAAAAGAGCTGTTGATCTGAAATTGGCCTTATAAGTGAGGTTTCTGATAGTGAAATGAAACTAAAGGCATCACATAGTGCCCAGGTTTGAGAAAGCCTCTGCGGAAAAACTTAAAACTATGTGTGCAAGGTCTGTGCTGGTAGTTCTGTAGGAATGTAGAAGATGTTCCTAGAAGTTATGTGGTAGCATTCTTTGCTGTTGATTTGGTGTATGCAGCATGCTACCACAAATCCGTTTGCTAAAGTTGCACAGTATTTACTGCTTTGTGTGCCTGATGGCACAGCATTTAATAAGATTTAGTTGGAGTGTTTGGGGGACTTCTTTTTCTTAAAGCTGTGGTTGAATTTTAAGATACCGAGTCTCTGCTTTTGAGTTCCTTGCTGTTGAACCCTCCTCTCAAACAGTATTAGGTAGAGAGTTAGATGCAATGTAGAAGGTTCCTCTGTTCTTCACGTAGTGAGTGCTGCAATTTATTTAGCAACTCCTGTATTCCTGTGTTCATGACGTGTTTACTGCAGATCCCTTTAGTAACTGTCAGTTGGTGGGTGTCTGAATATTATTTCTAGGCTGGTTTCCTAACAAAGTGAGGTTTATATATTGCATTGTCTTCCCATTTTTGTCTGGCAGTTCCTCCTAATAACTGTAGAATACGTTAGCCAATTTCAAGCAAAGTTGTCAAAGAGTCTAGAGAACTTTCCTGCTTGTGTGAAGTTTAATGGCCAGATGAAGGAAAAAGATCTGAATTAAAGTTTCCCTGTTGGGAGGAAAGCTCTTAGAAGGTTTTGCTCCTTGTGAAATGAGGAAATTAGCTGTGTAATCCTGACACATAGATAATCTTGACATGTATGCTGCCTGGCCAGTCAGTATTTGCATAGATCCAAGTAAGTTTCCTCACTAGCACTGCTTTCCAGCCAAACACGTATGGGTTGTAGGAGGGCCTAGGAGGTGAGGGCGTATGCTACATAAGCATAGAAAACAGGCCTTGTTACTTCTGGTTCATTGATTTGTACAGAGCAACTTGTTTCTTTGAAGAAAAAAAAAAAAAAAAGGAAAAATAAATGCATCCATGAAATACATAGTGGTTTTGGTTTGTTTTTTTTTTTTTTTTTAAAGAGGCTAAGAAAACAAGAAAAAAGTGAAAACAGGGAGGGAGATAAAAAATACATTGGAGAGATCAAATATAAATTTCTGTGTTTTATGAGTTGTAATATATATTACTTTTACTGAGGATAAAAAGAATGCTCATACTTGAGAAAATAATTGAGCCCCCTGCAGCCTGTTGACATCACTGTTTAAAAATAAAATAAATTAAAATTGCAAGTCTTCCATCATAGTTCTGCTCATTAAGCAATGAATAACAGTAAAGATGTATTTATGAAAGCTGTGACTTCCTCTGAAGTACTACTTCCTACTTTTCCTGTCACAAACCTTCATATACTTGCAAGTTCAGAAGTATTTTTGCAGGCAATTCTCCTCCTTTATAAATTTAGGATAGGAAGGCAGGTGTTCTGGTCCTTTGGTCCCAGACAGGTTGGCTTGTAGCATGGCCACCACTGGATTAGTTAACATATGGTTTAGGAGCTAGGACAGCATTTTTTTGACAGTTACTGTACACCTAAGTAGGAAAATAAGTATTCCAAGATCTTTGTTTTTATTTTCTAGATTTTAATATTACTGTTTTCCATTATAAGAAAGAGATTCTGGGACTATGGTCGTGTTGCTCTCGTGTCAGAAGCTGAAAGGTAAGAAAGATATGCAATCGGACTGATTTGTTGAAACCATTTGGGGAATGTGGAATTAAGTGCATTTGAATCAATTAGATATGTTTGTAATCACAGGCACATATTTGTTAAAAAAGTCCTCGTGCTGCTTTGTGTGAAATACATCCCGCTCACAGAGTTACTCTTTGCGGCTTCAGTAATTAAGTTGTGTGTTTGGCACTGTCAGGAATTTCATTCTACAGTTGTGGGTTAAGGAAATGGTGGTAAGAAAATAGGCTGCTTGTCTGCTAACATGTCAGTACCTACACGTGGATGTTTACAGTGTGTTTCTGTGATAGAAGGATATTAATTCTTTTGTTTATCTTGGCTCCAGCCCAATATCTTCCCAGAGCTCCCTAGGCAGCCTGTACCATAATTTTTCTGAAGGGTTTAAAAATAGAAAAGAAATGTATCATTGCAGGTTTCTGAAATTCTAAATGATTTTTAGTAATACTGCAAATGAGCTTTAATATTATTTTTTTTCTAAATATTATTTCTACAGGATGATGTCTTGGGATGTTTAAAAGCTAGCTGTCTATTTCTCAAGTGGGTAAACTTTAACAACAAGCCTCTTCCTGATATTAGTGGTGTAACTAATTTGTGGTAAATTCACAACTGAGCAATGGGAAAGGACCCAAATGTGGGTTTTAGGTGTAATCCACGTACAACTGTGAAAAGTAGATGGTGGAAAAAAAAAAAAAGATAGGCCATAACTGAGACAGCTAGCTCAGGCAGCAAGAATGCAGATGCTCTGGTGTAAGCTTCCATGTGGTCTGTGGAGGCCTGCTTGCATGGGGCAAACAGGTCCTTGAGCAGTCAGACACCTAGGAGCCTATATTATTGTCCCTGCTGGACTGTGACCTGAGCCAGCTAGGTCAAAATTATCATCGATACGTCTATGAATGCACTCCATTTTAATGTGTTGTCCTGTAATTATGGGCACATTGCCATTGCAACATTTCTTTTTAGCGACAAACTAAAACCAGGTACTTTACTATATTTGAGGGCTACTGTCTCTTTAAATGTTTCTAGCCTTGCTACAGGACTGAATTTGTGTGAGGAGGTGGCCCTGCAGGAAAGAGATAGGACTGTGCAGAGAAATTCTGAGTAGTGACTGTAAGATGAAGGGAGGTGATGTTTTGTAATAAGGAATATCTGAACAAGAAGCAACCTTGTAAACTCGATCCTCCCTAGGCTTCCAAACCTGTGTTGCACTCTCTTATGTTACTGTGGTTTAATATCCCAATAAAACATGTTTTTCCTTCTAGTTCAGTTAAATGCTCTTATGTCAGGAGCTCACATGCCCTCCCTTTTCCGCATGACACACAGCAAAAGTTTCTATAATTAGGCATATGCTACAAGATGAAAACCACAGCTTTCATAAGTGAAAAAGTGTTTTTGTACTACTTCCTGTAGTTACTTCAGAATTGTTAAAGTTGAAATAATTCTGTGGAATTCCATCATTTGTTATTAAAGACACTTTCATGCATTTTAGTGAAACAAGATACAACCGATTGTCAACATCTTCATCCGTACCTGAAGATCTTGAATATGATAAGGTAAGTATTCTAGAGTTTTGATACTTTTTTTAAAATGTAAACTATTTAATGGAATCTGTTATGATTTGCTGTTCCACCTAGCCCAATGAAGCAGTCATTAAACTGGAAGACATCTACATGCAAAAATTAGTAATGCATTGGGTATTGTGTTTTTATAGAACTATACATCATCTCTCTCAATTTCCTGAGAAACTGCTGTCATATCACAAACCAGTATCTTGTGTCATAGTTTTTTTTTTAAGCGGGACTATATGTTAGAGTTTCAAAGGGGAGGTGGGGAAGAAAAAAGTCTACTGAATAATTTGTGCTTAAATAACAGTTCAAAAAGTTACATTATGTTCACACTGCAAATAATACCTGGTTGGTCTTCATAGTACATTGTCTTCCTCACAAAGATGAGAAAACTGGATGCAAGTGTGAGGCTAGTAATAATGCCGTGTGCTCTTAATATTAAAACTGGTTTGGAGTAGAAGATAATCTTTTGGCCAAACTTTTAATTGGTTCCATCCATAGTCTCTCTGGAGTCTTTGAATTCACACATCTCTATCAGTTTGTGTTGCAGCTTCTGAATGAACCATGCAAGAGTTGTCCAGTGGTGGCAGCCTACATTTTAACATTTTATATATGTATCAACGTAATATCTAGCCTTACAACCAAATAACCGTGTGAGCATCAAAAGCATACTGCTGTTTGATCAGGATTGCTCTGCTATTCGTGTAGTTTTCTTCATCTTTTTTAAAAGTTGGGAACTTTGTCATTGAAACTTGAATAAATTGAATAAAAATGTGTCTCTCTAGCTTAATGCTATCCACTTGAAAGAAGAGGCCTTTTGAGAGACAAGATTTTTTTGAATCATACTGGAACGTTCAGTGAGATGTGATCTCTGCTGTACAGTTTCATAGGAGAATTTGTAAACCTATACAACAAGCCTTTCTGTTACTATAATCACAGTGTTGTTTCTAACTACTGTTTAACTGATTAACTTGTATTAGACTCGCACAGAATCTATCCTTGAAATTGGAGAGTCTCTGGAAATAGTTTTGGAAAAAATAATCAACTTCTCTGCTCTAAAACAATCCTTTAAAAAAAAAAACTCCTTAGAAGCTTCAATCTTGACTTCTGTTCATTGGAGATGGGATTTGGACATGCTTGTACAAATTTAAGAAGCCCCAGCAATAAACGTGCAAGTAATAAACAAACCCCTTAACTACTCTCTTTACAAAGAACTTCATATGTCTTTCTTAAAAGAATGTAGAGTATGAGGTATTTTTCTGTATGTTTCTAAATTATGATTTCAGAGCAACAAACTGCCAGCTTTTTAGCTAAGAGATTGGCTTAATAGAAACACTTCCCTCAATTGTACAGATTAGACACTATATTTCTTTTGTACGTTGGCTTCTAAAAACTTCCTTCTTTATTTATAGGGGTTGTGTTCTTGGATGACAGCTGCTTTTCGAATGCAGTAAGTGTATGAAACAGAAATAGTGAGCCGTGGTTTGCTTTTTTTAATTAAAAAAGGTGGGGTTGCGTTAAAAAAAATCTTTTTTTTTTTTTTGCATTGAGTAGATAGAATTTAATACCAATAGTAGTATGGGTGCCTCTGGTAGGGTGGAGAAAGAATATGAAGACAGGGTCAGCTTATGGGAATACTTCTTCAGGATACAGCCATCCTTCTGCTGGCAGCCCAGGGACTTCCAGATCTTGGGACAGTGTGTGAACCTAAGTGAATCTATGGCATTTATATGGATTCCGAGCTAATAACTAGGCTCTAGGCTTTTACCCTTCAAAGAGTACTGTGTAGGTGTTCCCCTGTTTGAAGCCAGAACAGCCCCGGGCAGGAAACAGGGTTTTCCTGCAAGGATTTCTGCAGAGAACGGGTGGTTTAGTTGGGGCTGGAACTGACTAAGCAGGAAAAGCCCATCCCACTGTTTTCCAGAAACTGAGTGTTAGATGTGTGGTGTTCGTTCTTTGTATCTCTTGGGGCTTAGTCAATCATGATTTTTAAAAATCAATTTCTAGCTTGGGTACATTGGGGGGGAAAAAAAAAGGGGGTGGGGATTGAGCCTCTCTTTCTCCATTTCTGCTAGTTCAGTTCCTTCCAAGAACTCCTATTTTAATGATCTGTTCTGCTGAGAGTGGATAGATGATGAGAGTTCATTCCAAAGCCTGTTAAAATCTTCTGTTAATTGGGTGTCATAAGAGTAAGTTTATTCTGTTGTCATTTTCCTCATGGGGAGCCCTTATGGAGATGAGTGAACACTGTCACAGTGTGATCTTAAAATTGGAGAGCTAGGCTTAACACCTTGTAACTGTCATAAAGCAGGAGGTCACAGCAAATGACTTTGTCCTCTTTTAGGCTGATAATAAAAGAACTTGGGTTTATATTTTGCATTTCAGATTACTTGTTTCCATCTTAAATTGCCTTATGTTAATTTTTATATGTTGATACTGCACAACAAAAAGACAGTTTTGGAAGTTTTTAAAATTTTATTTTATAACTATTTTTATTTTTAATTTTTTTAATTTGGAATTTATGTGTGAAAGAGCACAACCGTGTTGCAAATGGGTAGGGATTGATGGAGATGTCCTTTGAGAAATTAGTGTATGTTCAAGAACCACCTTCCAAAAGCCCAAGGATATTAAGTAGACTGACTGTGTCTTTTCTGTCCGTGATGCAGTGATGATGAGATTCATGAGAGATGTGGTCAAGATGCCATACATTACCTTGCCTTCCAGCGTCACATTATCTGTTTGTTGATTGCTATCAGCATTTTGTCTGTGTGTGTCATATTGCCTGTCAACCTATCGGGTGATCTACTTGGTAAGGATTTTTTTTTTGTATTCTGAAAAAGATTTTGTGGTTTACATAATTGCAAAAGCTTTTAGGACTTTTTTATTTTGGTAAACTTTGTAAGGTGGTTCCCCCTGCCCCCCTCAGTCTGATGCATGTGTCATTTTGTGTGAAATTTGAATGAGTGTAGAGTGTTCTTTAAAGGTCTGGCAAAAATTGTCAGAAACAAGATAGCAGACCACATGCAGCATAGACAGCTGGACCTAGAAGGCTCAAGGCAGGATTCACTTGACCTATGCCCTCTTAACTGGTGTTTATCTAGGTGTCTTTATGATTTTTATTGGTGGTGATTGCCAATGGAAACTGTCTTCACAGGTGAGAAATCTTATTCTAGTGTCCAGTCTGAATCTTGTTTGCTGCAATTTAAGATCACCAGGGAGAATAGATTATTCTTTTCCTCTTTGCAATATCCTTTTAGCTGCTTGAGGATTACCGATTCATCTGTGCTTTTTCCTCTGTTTTGATAAACCACGCTAGTTAATTTGGTCATTGATGAGAAATCTTTTCCATTTGGCTGATCATAAAATCATCAGCCATCCTCTGAACTTTTTTTTTTTTAACCTAGCTAGACTGCATCCCATTGTTCCCTTCTGTCTTGGCTTGTGGCTCAAAACTGGACGAGTCTTCTCGCTGAGACTTCGTCAGTGCTGACTAGAGAAAGAATTATTTCATGTTTCTTGCAGTCTAGTCCTGATTATGTCTGCCAGTGTGACACCTACCTCTTTCCATTATTAACTCACATTGAACAAATAGTGTGTCCTCTAGTCTGCCATTCAGGTTGCTAATGAGAATACTGGTAGACAGAAATCTGTTAAATGCTGTTTAAACGTTCTTCCATTTTTGATAATGAACCCTTATAAGCCTGTTTTATACTTGGCTTTGTATCGGTCTTGTCAAGATCATGTTTACAGCGTTGTTCACTGTTGGATCATCTTGGTGAATAGCTATGCAAAAAAAAAAAAAAAGGTGACAATTCATTTGGTTTGTAAATATACATACCTGTATATTTATACCAAAATGGATTTTGTAATACACATAATTTTGTGTGCATTGTCCTTCTCTAACTGCAATTTGATAAAAGTTGTAGTATATTGGATACCAATAGATGCTCTCTGTTAATTCAAATGGCAGAGTATGGATGGCCTTCTAAAGCAGAAAAATAGAGTTTCTGTTTTCCTGCATTGATCTTCATAATGCTAGGAAGTACAGCTGAAAAACAAATACGAAGTTTTAATGTCTCTCCCCTTCTTCCTCCCCTTCCACCGTATGTTGATTTTGTGCATTTGCAGTTCTTTCTGCTGCGATGACTTAACTTGCAATGTGGTTTAACAGTCTATGCTAGAAGATTGCTTAGCTTTCCAGATACACTTTGCTCTTTTTTCCTTTGTGAACATGTACTCAATTTTCACTTACTTGCATTATCGTTTTTTAAAATATTTGATAGTCTAAAGAAACAATAAACTTTCTCATTTTTGACCTTAATAAGGTTATCAGTACTGTTTTGTCAACACTGAATTAATGCAATTTCAAAAACTGAGATAAGAAATCAGTGAAGATGGAATAAAAATGTGAAGGAAATGTTTGAATCCCTAAACAGTGTTGTTAATGGATGTGAAGGGAGATTGGAGAGAGAAAGGGAACTGCTGCAAAGATCTAGTATTTTAAAATAATCTATTATTTCTCTTGATGGATTGAATGTGATATAATCCTGGGGTTTTTTTCTAACTTTAAAATGCAATACAGTGTAAGCCAGCATTGATTATGATTCTAAATCTTAATAACAGTGAACATGCTCAGCATTAAAAGGAAGTGTATCAACATTTAAAAAAAAATAGAATAAGAGCTGACTTTCTGATAGTTTGCATGTGAATGTTGCACCAGTTAATTATGCTACTTGGTGGTTTTTGTTTTGTGGTTTTCTTGTTTTTTTTTTTTTAGATAAAGATCCCTATAGTTTTGGAAGAACAACTATAGTAAACTTAGAAACTGGGTAAGTAAATCTTGCAGAGTGCTTTTATGCTTATGTCTGTTTCCTGCCATAGTCTCTGAACACATGAATTGATACTTGGCAGCCAGGCTCATGGGGTAGGAAGTACTTATTCATGCTTCGTCAGCTGAAAGTGGGATACGTTCTACTTCAGGCTATGCAGTTACAGTGCTGATAAGAAATCTGGAGACTTGGCTTCTACTCTCTCAGCTCTTCTTACACCACATGTTTCTTTTGGCTAATGACTGCACATCGAGCGATATTATTTTCAGAAATTTCCACATTAAAAGAAACCATACTTCAGAAGGGAAATAAAGCTGACAGCTTTACTAGAATGTGTAACTCAGATGATTTAAGTTTGTGTGTGTGCATCTCTCTCCCATTCAAGATCACGATTAAAATTACTTCTATGTATTTTAAAAACAGTCTGTAAAATAGTCGAGATATAAAGCTGTACAATTTTTTCTGTTTTGTTACTTGATCAATTCACACATATCCATGCTACTATGTCCAACAGAGTTTCTGCCAATGCACTTTGGTTTTTTTAACCATGTTATGAATCCAGTAACTAGTAGGGATTTTTTGTTTGGTTGGTTTTATCTGTAAAGTAGGTTCCTGTATTTTAGGTTAATTGTAATTATTAATGTTTTTTGCAAAACCAAAGAACTGTTTGCAGAACAGAACTTCCATAAGCTTTGAGGAAGGAGCTATCAGAGAAGCAGAACTTATTTCCTGTATTAGTGTTAAAGAATTTCACAAGTCTCTGAGTTACTCTACGTTTGCATTTGTTCACAACTCAGAGTTGGGCCATCACCTCAGTGAATGGCAAATGAAAATCATAAGCATAATACTTTTTATATCTTTCTATAATAATTGCATAAAGAATTTCCATGGTGTTCACAATTCCTCATTTGTCTGACCAGCTGAAAGTCCATTGTTTCCCACAGGTTAGCATACTTGTATTGTTCTGTCTCAATTCTACTTCTCGAACGTGAAGTCCATTGGCTCATCCATCAAAAGTCTTCTCTCGGCAGCCACCATAAATGGAGGCAAAAGCATAAAAACTTAACCTCTAACTTATCTTCTATTCGACTGGGCCTACTTTAATTATTCTGTCTACATCTTGGTTCAAGACCAACTTATCTGACTGTCTTAAAGTCTTACCTTCATCTGTCTTTATTTGCTGATTAACTCAGCTGGTGATTAGTCCAACCATAGACAGGGGCTATACAAGGGTTGCAGTGAGTAGTAAACCATGGGCTGTTGAATTTCTGCCTGCACAGCTGCATCTTGGTTGCATTCAGAGGTCAATATCTTAATACAATATCCACAAAATGTTTAATGAAACTTACACAAAAGAAAAATTAACTCCTTCCTTTATCAATTAGACTGTCTTCAATTTGAATACGGATTGCGTTCAAGGAGAGTTCAATTTGCAGTCAACACAGTAACTAATAAGGCCAATAAAAAACATTTTGGCAAATAGCATGGTGTGTGCTATTGATCATCTGGATGAGAAGGCATAAGCCAAATGCTGCCTAAAAATGTTCATGTCATAGAAGATCTGTTTTCTTTGTAGGTCTGTTACCCATAGAATTTTTTTGTAACCAAGTGAGCTTAATGGCTGTCCAAGGCATCTGGATAGGCATGACTGACTACCAGTAACTGTTTTTTCTTGTTTTATGTTCAATGAGAGGTTCTGATCTGCTTAGCGTTTTGGTGGCTACTTGTATCAGTTGGATGATTAGTTCTTCTTGTTTCTCATATTCATAACATTTTGTCCAACAGTAATAATCTTCTCTGGCTGCACGCTGTTTTTGCTGTTGTTTACCTGATTCTGACTGTTGGTTTCATGAGACATCATATGAAGTATGTCACATATAAAGAAGAAAACACAGTAAGTTTTTGTACTGGGATGAAAAAATCCATACAGCATGTTTGCAAGTGGATAATGCTAAAAAAGCAAATTGCTAAGATGCCTGCTAGAATGTGACATAAGTGTGAAGGAATTCACTGAAAGCAAAGCCTCACTGAGTGAGTTGTGAAAATGGATGGAGAGGAGGGGGTTGGGGAGGGATTTGTGAAATTTTGATGTAACCCATTACCAATGTAGAAAGTGAACATGGTGCTGTCTTGAATCAAAGCTCCCATCAAAATTAATTTCCTACCTTTTTCTCCCCTCTACAACACAACTACTTGTGCTGTGTCACTGCCTTCCTCATATTCTTGTTTTCTCTTTCATGGTGTGGTTTCTCATAATTGGAGTTGCATTTTGTCTTGCAGGTTAGGTGCACATTGTTTATAACTGGTCTTCCAAAACATGTAAAAAAAGAGAAAATACAAGGCCATTTCACGTAAGTTCCATGCTTGAGTAGTATCATTAGGAACAGGAGGTTTAAAATTGTCCTAGTAGTTTTACCTGTCCAAGCAGAAATGGTTTTTGACTTTCACACTATTTAAAAAAATTCATATTGTAGTATGTGTCTTCTAAAAGCATATCTTATTCCTTAGACAGAATTGAGAAAAGATTATGCTTCAATGAAGTTAGTTAGCTGATCTTAAAATTAGAGTCTAAGAAAGTGACTGTGTATCCACACTTTCTATTCATGCTCCCACATGGCCTTTACTGGGGAATAATGCTACACATCTCATATTGAAGTAACTTTCAGCAACTGTCCCTCTGGAAGTCTTGACCACTACCCTCTGGACACGACCATCCAGCCAGTTCCTTATCCACCGAACAGTCCACCCATCAAATCCATAGCTTTCCAATTTAGAGAGAAGGATGTTGTGGGGGACCGTGTCAAAGGCCTTGCAGAAGTCCAGATAGATGACGTCTGTTGGTTGTCCCTTGTCCACTGATGCTGTCACTCCATCATAGAAAGTCACCAGGTTTGTCAGGCAGGACTTGCCCTTGGTGAAGCCATGCTGGCTATCTCGAATTATCTCCCTGGCCTCCATGTGCTTTAGCATAGCTTCTAGGAGGATCTGTTCCATGATCTTCCCAGGCACAGAGGTGAGGCTGACAGGTCGGTAGTTCCCAGGGTCTTCCTTTCTACCCTTTTTGAAAATGGGCACAACGTTGCCCTTCTTCCAGTCACCAGGGACTTCACCTGACTGCCATGACTTTTCAAATATTATGGAGAGTGGCTTGGCGACTACATCGGCCAATTCCCTCAGGACTCTGGGATGCATCTCATCAGGTCCCAATGAGTGATTGAGATGTCAGTTAGACATCAGTGGTGCTCTTTCAAACAGTTTCTTCATTGTAATTTCTGTTTTTCTTGTTCTCATGTACCACTTCCTTTCCAGTGCTGCCTACCCAACCTGCACTGTGACGGATGTCCAGCTGTGTTATGACGTAGCCAAGCTTATTGATCTCTTTAAAAAAAGGTATTTGTTTTTGTAATCTGCCCGAGTTTAGCATAACTTCATGAGTGCTTTGCCAGTCCTTAATCAACACATACCAGTAGTACTAAGGTTGCACACACTAGAAATGAATTCTGCTTTTAAACTTCTGGTCTGGACTTCAGTTAGATTCAGCTGTGTTTCAAGGCGAGTTAAGGGGTTCAGCCTCTTTTTTGTAGGTGTGGCGTGTTGTGTGTTGCATAAGATAAGCTTTGACTTGCTGATGATTTTTGTATGTATGTATATTTAATTATTGCCAGGCAGTGCAAAGTGGAAAATCCAACTAATAACTCTGGGACCGTGCTTCTTTAGCCAGAGGTGTTGGTCACAGGAGAACAAAAGTGTTATCTTCTGGGCTATATGTTGGGGTTTTTTTTCCTGTAACCTCACTACAAGTGTAGGCTGCATAATGCTATTACAGACTTGAAAATAAATTATACTAAGTAGCCAAAATAAGGTATATGAATATCTTTGGCGACTGATTAATTTGTTATCAGTCCTTGATATAACTTTTTCTTTTGGGGATTATATTCTTCTTAAGCTTGATGTTTATAATGTTTTCTTGCAAAATGTTATGGATGTATTTTTCTGTCCAGAAAACAGGCAGAAAAAAGCCTGACTTACTATGAGCACCTGTATCAGAAGTACGGCAAGCAGGTCCAAATCAACTCTAAACCATGTGGTCAATTCTGCTGTTGTGAAATGAGAGGATGTGAGAGGGTAAGAGATTGTGTTCGTTTTTAGTTACAGCTAGATAGACTGTTAGAAGAGTAGATGATAGTTTTTTTTGTGTGACATCTTTTTGAGCTTCAGAACATAGTCATTTATTGCAAATAGCTTATCCTTCATGTTCTTGCACTGTACAGAAAAGGAATTCCCCAAAACTTTTGAAATGTAATCTCAGTGCAAAAATTGAAGTACAAGAAAAACTGTGTTTGTTTGTCTTTGCGTTGTGATGTGATTTGTAATTTGTATGAGAAAGAGAGACCCGTTTGTGTAAGCTTTATTTTAATGAAGATATTAGCTATCTGGTACTTGGATGTAAAAAGTCATCAATTTCCCAACAGGAGGATGCTGTAGATTATTATACCAAAGTTCAACATGAACTCATGGAAAAATATTTAAAAGAGGAAGAAGCTGTTCAGAATAACCCACTCGGAATGGCTTTTGTAACATTTCAAGAGAAATCCATGGCAACCTAGTAAGTTTTGTCTGCTGTCTTATTTGTTCTCTTTTAACTACAATAATACACCTGATCTCCTGTTTGTGTTGCTTGTTTGCTTATGGTGGTTCTTTTTCATTTCTTCTGCTTCACCATCCTGTGGATTTGGTTTGCTTTGCTGTCCAGTAAGTTTTCCTGTAAGTGTGGATTTAGCCTCTATGCTTCAAGTGAAAAAAATATCTAAGGGACTAAATGGCTCTGGACATTTACGGGGGCAAGGAGCTTTTTTCTTCTGTGTGGGATCCAGTCCATCAGTGTAGGTTAATAGTAGGGCCAGACTAATTGGCTCTTGAATATGAGTTACTGATTTCTCCATTTTCTACTGCGCAAATGGCCCAGTTACCAAACTATCAGAGTGGGTGCAATTACGCTGCTAGTGAGTCATCTCAACAAAGTAGAGTCAGTGACTGACCTGGCCATAGGTGGTAGATACACATTACCTATCTCTCTTGCCTTTTATTATAGGTACATGTATAGGCTTAATATCAGTTGTTGTTCAGCGCCTTTTACTCAGTCATTTGCAGAGAAAATGCTTTGTAGCCTCTCGTTTTCTGTTAGTGCTTTGTGAGTATCTTTTACTAACACTAAGTGGGTAAAGGGAAGCAGAATAATATTTGTATTACAAAAATAACACATTGTGCTTTTTTTTTTATTCTTCATAGCCTCTCTGTTTTAAACTGTCTGCATTCTTTTGACCTTCAAGTCATGTTTGAGAGCCTGTCGTTCAGGCTTTTTTTCAAAGAAGTTCAGGGTATAGAATTCCTTGCAAGAATTTGAGATGCTGGAAAAAGCTTTGCTTGCTGCTCTTTAACCGAGTAGTGGTTGTGTGGTGAAATCTGCCCCACCTCCTAATTTTGTAATGTTACACACCATATTTAGAGAATCTAGAGCATTAAAAAAAAAAAATTAAGATGGGAAACTGGAAGAAGGAATAAGCACTGAAGTTCCTTCTCTAGCTGCTGATTTGTCGTACGCAGTTTTGGTGGGATAGCCTCTCCTTGGGCATGTGTTCCGAGTTGGACTGCAGGCATCTCTGACTTAAATTACCAAGGACTGAAAAGATTTTAGTTTGCTTAGGTTGGAATTTATGTGGTGGACTCCATTCTCTGGAAAATTAGATTAGATTACATGTGAAGCTGAGGCTACCACCAAAGTAGAAAGTGATTTGGTGCCCTCTGTTCCACAGAGCCCTGAAATAGGATGGGAGAAACAGGAAGCCAGGACTGAGGTTCATGGAGTCAGGTGGTTGTAGAAGCTTGGTTAATGATGGTGCTCGGTAGTTTGGCTGGTAGTGCTAAAGCTTGCTCTGTATGCATTTTTAAAAAATAAACTGTCAAAGTATAACTAACTTTCTTAAATACTTGCTGCTGCAAGATGCTGGCAATTTGACAACGCTACTTGAATTCTGGTAAGGTAAAGATCTCGGGGTTTGGGGGTTATTTTTGTTTGTCTGTTTGGTGTTCATGTGCATGGTTCTCTGTTTTATTTATGTTAAGAGCACAACTGAGAAATAAGCATGTTCAGGAATTTTAGTGTCTGAAATACTGTTTCCATGCTAGTGTAATAGAGCTAATCTGGAGTGGAACTTTTTTTTTTACACAGTAACACACACACAGTTGTACTGTCTCTGAATATATGGCTAGCACTTCTATTGCTGTGTTTCAAGAAATCTTTGAAAGCATTTATTCTGGGCGTGTTTAAATTTTGTTTAAATACATTGATTGTCAATCCATAATATTGGAAGATAAAATTAAGTATTGTGATTATGTTAGGAGCGGGTGAAAGAGTGTAATATTTTGAATTGTGAGAATACCAGCATGATAAAAAATTTTCCAAGAATTGGTACTCAAGGCAAAATTTGGCTAGTTTTGATACTAGTATAATAAAATGAGAGTGCAGACTGGTCCTTTAGTCTGCTTTGATCTGAAAACAGCTGTAATTACATAAAGAGGTCTGGGGAACTGACTGTATTTTTATTTTTCCAGTGCTCTCAGGTATTGATTTTTTTTTTTTTTTTTTTTTTTTTTTAATATTCTTTTAATATGAGTCACTGCTGTTGTTCATGTTGGTAGAAGCACGGACCAGTTCAAACCAAGACTGCTTTTTGTTTCCAACTTTGTCAGATCTCAAAGACCTGTGGTAGTAACATGATGGCCATTACATGCATAATATAATGTTACATTATTGTCTAAGTACTATCCTGATCTCTGGTTATTAAAAGAAAAAAAACCCTTTATCACTATTCATATATTCACTATCTCAACTTTATCACTAGTCTTTCTCATTACGTATGCAACATTTTCAGGTGTAAAAATTCAGAAAAATCCTCCTCTTCTCTTTCTTCCTTACAGTATCCTTAAGGACTTCAATGCCTGCAAATGTCAGAGTATTAGGTGTAAAGGAGAACCCCAGCCGTCGTCCTACAGCAGGGAGCTTTGCATATCAAACTGGGAGGTTACATACGCTCCTTATCCTGACAATATTTGTTGGTAAGGTTCCTGTCTTACATCCATTTATTTATGACAATGTTGGTTTAGAATGGGGACAGGAGAAAGGGGCTGAGTGCATTTTTCTTTAACCCTAAGCTAAGACTTTAGTCTTGGATGTGGCTGATCTGCATCTTTATTTCCATTACTGGTGTTCTTCATTGACCTTGGGGAGGCCCCTCAGAGGTTGACTAGAGTTTTGCTGCCCAAAAGTTCTGGTACCTGCAGTTCCTTTTAACTGGGGAAAAAAAAAAAAAAAAAAATCAGGTTATTAATTTCTGTGCCTTGGTGTTTCCATTTTTTGAGGTTAATGCATGTCTACTGTTGAGATCTGTGGAAAGCAATTGGTGTTAGTGCTAACTATTCTCCAAGTACATATATTTTTTTGGAGTTGCCACGTGAGGAGTATAATTTGATCCACTCTATGAACTGTGGTCTGTCCTCTAACATCTTTTTATTGACCCAGTAAATTCCTCAGACTTTACCCACCACTTTATAAGAGAGAGTTCGAAAATAGATAAATGCTTTTTGAATTAAACTGTTCCTGTGCTGCCTTCTGTCATGCTTATAGGTTAAAAATGATTAAACGTTTTCCAATTGCTCTGCAAATAACTTAGGGTTGGGTCATTATAATCCCCTGTTCATATAACAGTAAATTTGTTGTGACGTTTCCATTACCCAAACCAAAATTGCAAGTGAGACACAAGCATGCACAAGTTGCTGTATTTCACCTGTATGTAACTTTTTTTTTTGAAGTACACTTTTTTTCTTAATGATTTTAATTGACAATTACTTTTAAGGTGACTATGCCATCTATTTCTAATAACTTGAGAAGTTTTCTCTGGAATTAAAATTCTGCAGTTGGGAATAAAGAACAGAAACTAACCGTAAAGCAAACAACAATGATTCTTAGCTGTGTTGCTTGCAGCAGCGTTATTTTGAGACATGAATTAAAAACCTCTTGCAAGCTGCTTTCAAGTAGGGCCAGTTTAATCTGCCTTTTTCATGAAAGGGTTCTCACGTGCATGTATACTTCACTTCCTCTTCTTCAAGCACTGTCTTGTGGACACAAGAAATGATCGTTGAGACTCAGTGAGTTGAAGCACTTGCAAAGCTTTTCTAAACATCTCTGAGAGGGGAAGATAGTGGGGTTTTGTTGGGTTTTGGTTTTTTTTTTTTTTCCTGTTCTTTTCTCCCCTCCCCTTGAAGAGGAAGCACAGGGATATGGGAAGTTACTTATCTAAGTTCACAAAAAGAGTTCTCGTAACTGGGGATGTTACTGAGCCTCTGTATCCCTGTTTTGTCTGTTTAAAATACTTGGCTCTGGCTGGGGTTCAAGTTGTTCCAGTCCTTTTGGGAACCATTTCAGGTCACATTTAAGACCTTTACCTGTTTAAGACCTGTGGTTGCTGTTTTAATATGGCATGAAGGGATGCAGGGGTTTTAAACTATTTTTTTCAAATCACAGTTTCTTGCTAAGGTTCTGCCTCTGATAGCTATTCTCCTTGCAGAAATTCTCTGTATCTTTTTCTATCTCTGTCTCTTCTTGTTCTAACTTTGTTTAGTACTTCTGTATTCTTAAACAGTGGAACTGTTTCATCCCAAACCTTAACTATGTTAGACATTGTATTTGTGTTATGGAAGACTAAATATGTTCTTCTGCAAGTGCAATTTATGTTATCATACAAGAAAGGTTGCAGTTTTCTTTATTTCTAATAGCAACTGGAACTTGTGTAGTGCTTTGTTATATAACTTTGAGACTATGAAAGCTCAATTTAGGAAAAGCAGTGCCACCCGTTACTTGACAGATAGTATATATTTTTTTAACGACAAATGCCTACTGCTTGTTTTTATGTTTTGGTTTATTTTTTTTTCCCAGGAGCAATCTTGCAGTATGTGGACTGAAATGGTGGCTTAGATGGGCTTGCATTAATTTGTTTCTTTTTATCGTGCTGTTTTTTCTTACTACTCCTTCCATAATCATCTCAACCATGGACAAGTTCAATGTCACTAAACCTATTCACTACCTTAATGTGAGTATCACCATATGTTTGGATAGAGCTGTGTGTATCAGACCAAAATGTTGATAAACTGATAGGTATATCACACTGAAACAATGTCTATAAATTAAATTCAGTTGAAATTCTTGGGATTGCTTTATGTAACTACCGATTAAAAAGCATCGGTAGTTCTGGAATCAGGTCTTTAGTCCTTTTTTGTTCATTGATAGTAGGCTGAAGTAATTTCATCTGAAACTTTATATTATTATAAATGTTGTCTTTGTTGTTGTGATTTAAGCCCAGCTGGACACTAAACGACACACAGCCACTCGCTCGCTCCCCCTGCCAGTGGGATGGGGGAGAGAATTGGAAAGTTAAAAGTGAGAAAACTCATGGGTTGAGGTAAAGACAGTTTAATAGGTAAAGCAAAAGCCACGCATGCAAGCAAAGCAAAGCAAGGAATTCGTTCACTGCTTCCCATCAGCAGGCAGGTGCTCAGCCATCTCCAGGGAAGCAGGGCTCCATCACGCATAACGGTTACTTGGAGTGACAGCGTTTGTCTTCCCAAAGGTTCCCCCCTTCCTTCTTCTTCCCCCAGCTTTATATGCTGAGCATGACATCATATGGTCTGGAATAGCCCTTTGGCCAGTTGGGGTCAGCTGTCCTGGCTGTGCCCCCTCCCAGCTTCTTGTGCACCTGGCAGAGCTGAGAGCTGAGAAGTCCTTGACTAGTCTAAGCAGTACGCAGCAACAGCTAAAACATCAGCGTGTTATCAACATTCTTCTAGTACTAAATCCAAAACACAGCACCATACTAGCTACTAGGAAGAAAATTAACTCTGCCCCAGCCAAAACCAGGACATTTATTTGTACTAAAATTTTGCATTCCAAATTTACATCATTCTAAATTTTGTAATCAAAAACCTTTGGCAAAAATGGAATTTCAAGTCCAACTTGTATTTCGATTTTTATGATGAGAAGGGGAGAATTCAGTTTTTAAAGTCTGAAGTAAAATGCCATAGTTTTATTTTGCTTATTGGATTCAAAGCAGGATGGCATATATATCTGATCCTAGTTTGACTGGAGCTAAAGTCTCTTGCAAAATATTCATTTTAAATACTTCCCCAAGCTAGTGTAAACTACACAAAAACTGCTTGTGAGACTTCACTATCATGGAATTTAAGTCCCAATCCTACTCTTGTTTTTAGTTTTGCACACCAGTGCTGAGCACTCACTTATTTTAAGACTGTATCTGAATATGATTTCCACAGTCCAGCCTGCTATAATTTACGAGAAGCAAAATATTGCAGCCTCTGTGTTAAAATGTTTTTAATACTTACTCTTTTTTTCTCCCACTAGAATCCCATCATCAGTCAGTTTTTCCCAACATTCTTGCTCTGGTCCTTCTCAGCTTTGCTACCGACAATTGTCTATTACTCAACTTTGCTGGAGTCCCACTGGACAAAGTAAGCAACATTTTCCTCCGTTTTGGCCTTATCAGCCGAATTACTAAACTAAATGGAGAGAGTGCTTCTCTTTCATGGAGCTCTTAAATCCACAGACCTCTCATAGCAGGGAATGTCATGTTCTTGTCTCTTTCTGATGTTATAACCAACACTTTGGAGTTTAAGTAGTTTGTAGTCAACACAGCAAGTGTAATCTGACCATGTGACTTGCTTATGTGTCCTGACCCTGTCCCCACCGCTTTGTGTTTAATCAGAAAAAAAATGTATAAGCAGGCTCGTATAAGCAGGCTCAGGGGGTGTAGCTTCAAGGGGAACATGGGAAGTGCCTCTGATCCCATAACTAGCTTGCTCTCTGGGAAGGTAGATGGTGTGGGTTTTGGTCCCCCCTTCCTTCTTCTTCCCCCAGCTTTATATGCTGAGCATGACATCATATGGTCTGGAATAGCCCTTTGGCCAGTTGGGGTCAGCTGTCCTGGCTGTGCCCCCTCCCAGCTTCTTGTGCACCTGGCAGAGCTGAGAGCTGAGAAGTCCTTGACTAGTCTAAGCAGTACGCAGCAACAGCTAAAACATCAGCGTGTTATCAACATTCTTCTAGTACTAAATCCAAAACACAGCACCATACTAGCTACTAGGAAGAAAATTAACTCTGCCCCAGCCAAAACCAGGACATTTATTTGTACTAAAATTTTGCATTCCAAATTTACATCATTCTAAATTTTGTAATCAAAAACCTTTGGCAAAAATGGAATTTCAAGTCCAACTTGTATTTCGATTTTTATGATGAGAAGGGGAGAATTCAGTTTTTAAAGTCTGAAGTAAAATGCCATAGTTTTATTTTGCTTATTGGATTCAAAGCAGGATGGCATATATATCTGATCCTAGTTTGACTGGAGCTAAAGTCTCTTGCAAAATATTCATTTTAAATACTTCCCCAAGCTAGTGTAAACTACACAAAAACTGCTTGTGAGACTTCACTATCATGGAATTTAAGTCCCAATCCTACTCTTGTTTTTAGTTTTGCACACCAGTGCTGAGCACTCACTCATTTTAAGACTGTATCTGAATATGATTTCCACAGTCCAGCCTGCTATAATTTACGAGAAGCAAAATATTGCAGCCTCTGTGTTAAAATGTTTTTAATACTTACTCTTTTTTTCTCCCACTAGAATCCCATCATCAGTCAGTTTTTCCCAACATTCTTGCTCTGGTCCTTCTCAGCTTTGCTACCGACAATTGTCTATTACTCAACTTTGCTGGAGTCCCACTGGACAAAGTAAGCAACATTTTCCTCCGTTTTGGCCTTATCAGCCGAATTACTAAACTAAATGGAGAGAGTGCTTCTCTTTCATGGAGCTCTTAAATCCACAGACCTCTCATAGCAGGGAATGTCATGTTCTTGTCTCTTTCTGATGTTATAACCAACACTTTGGAGTTTAAGTAGTTTGTAGTCAACACAGCAAGTGTAATCTGACCATGTGACTTGCTTATGTGTCCTGACCCTGTCCCCACCGCTTTGTGTTTAATCAGAAAAAAAATGTATAAGCAGGCTCGTATAAGCAGGCTCAGGGGGTGTAGCTTCAAGGGGAACATGGGAAGTGCCTCTGATCCCATAACTAGCTTGCTCTCTGGGAAGGTAGATGGTGTGGGTTTTGGATCCTCTCCAGGCTGAGAATGTCACAGAATCCCACTTCAACAGAAAGTGCTCCAACTGCTGGGATGCTACTTGTAAAAAGGGCATCCATCTTATTGTTGTTTCGTGTGGAAAAAATGGTCTGGATGTAACTCCTGGTGCACAACTCGGTTGCTGTTGGATATTGTTAGTAGTGATCTGAGAAGACCTGTGGGACCAAGGCCCAGCTAATGTGCTGATGCAAGGTTTTTCAGATACGACCGGTGCACTCCAGAGATGTCAAGCACAGTGACGTGCTGCTAACTTGGAGAACTCAGAAGAGCTTGGTTTGGCATACCGGATTTCATCCCCAGTTTACCTACAGTCAGATAAAAGCATGATACTTCACATTGAATCCCAGCTTCACTTGACTTCGCTCAATCTTTTTCCTTAATGTCTGCAGCTGGTTTTTGTTTGTTTTTTATATTCTAAGCTCAAATTTTTTGGACTCTTTAATTTTTTTTTGTACCATTACCTTGTAAGACATCATGTCTAGAATCTACTGTTTATTCATCAGAGTTGTATGCTTTTTTTTTTTTTTTTTTTTTTTTTGGTAGCTGCATTAGGCACATGAACTTTGAGCCCTTCTTGGTCAGTTGAAATAGTTTTCTGAAGTCACTAGTGATCACAGATCTGATTTCAAGCCTCAGTACAGTTATGCTGATACGTCCCACAGTCCCACAGGGCTAAGTGATCCTATAATAAAACCTCTGTGGTTTTAATGCCCTATCAGATACCACCTTTGACAGTCTGAATTATTTACAGCAATCGCTGCACTTTTCTGTCTACAGTGTGTCACTAGATAGATGTTCCTGCTGCTGTAGTAGGGGTATAGCGTTAGTAGTGTCCTGCTGTTCCCAAAGACTTGACACTTGGCAAGGACAATCAAGTAGCTTGTCTTAAGTGTCTGGTTTCTTGGCAAGTGGTGCCCCTTTACAAGCTGCCTAATCCCTCTTGGCATAACACTTTGTTTACAAGCTGTTGCAACGTGTGAGTATCATTGGGTGAGAGACCCGCTGTGACTGTTGCACAACCCCTTGCTTGTGGTGCAGACCTGTGGTGGTGCTAATCCCAAATCCGGATTAATGTTCAGGAATGTTTTCTTTGCCCAAGAAGATACTGACAGCCTGCTTGGTCCAAATTAGTGAGTATCTCAAAGATGTTTGTTTTGTGAGCATCTTGTAGCAATGTGGTACGGTAGGGGAAGCTGGAAGTCTGATGGGTGCTGACATTCTCTGGGCAAGATCCTTCATGTGTGCAAGTCTTTCGTATGAGTTTCTTACTCAGTGACTTTTTATGTTGGTAGATCTGCAGAGAACAGAATAATGATGCATAAAGTCTACATATTTTTGATCTTCATGGTATTGATTCTGCCCTCCCTTGGTCTGACCAGGTAAAGAATCACAGTTTAACAGAGTAACATTTGAATATTCTTATAATATGAGACAACTTCTGTTACCTGGTTGCTAGCTGAGGTATTGTTTATGTACTCCCACTCCTCCCAGTGTGTATGGTTATCTTGTCATTAACACATTGGATTTCAGTGTTCATCTTTCGTCTGAGGACCTCATAGCCCTTAAAGTTTCCAAAGGCTGACTTTTCTTTTAGCAAAGAAATTTAAGGCCTTGTAAGATCAATGTCTCTTTGAAAGTTGCCCATACTCACCATCATAGCTGGGAACCCAGTTTCCTGACTGTGTCTTACACTTCAGTTATAGCTGTCGTCTTCTTTCCACCTTTACAGTATTTTACTGTTTCCCTGGCTAACCGGGTAACATGTATTTGTCCTATCTATATAATAACTGCAAAAAATAAATAATTAAAACTTTAGTATGAAGTAGATGTTTCTGTTTTGCTTGATTTTGTATCTTTTTTCCTGTTTCTGACTATTAGTAACTGTGATAAAGCTTAAAGCAGTGTTCAGATTATTTGATTGAATTCTCTCTATTGACTGTCCTGATCTCAACTACTTAAAAAGAGAAGCAATTTTATACAGTACTAAGCTGTTGGGGACTGAATTACTTTAACTGTGTTTCTTTCAGCCTTGATTTTTTTTTCCGTTGGCTGTTTGACAGAGAATCATCTGATTCTACAGTTAGGCTGGAGTAAGTATTAGCAACTCTTTGCTAAAGGAATACTTGGGTGCTTTTTTTGTTGTTGTTATTTTTGGGTTTTTGCGCTGTTGAGTAACCCTGGTTAGTGTTTATTAAAATTTGCTTGGGGATGGTACCCCGTGGGATGATGTTGAGCTTCTGAATACAGGGAGGAGAATGCAAGTGATTTTGCTGTGAAGAAATTAATGCTTTTTTTCCTGCCAGCTAATGTGTGCAAACATTCAGTAAAGAGACCGCTATTGTCCCCAAACCTTACAAATTCTGTAGAAGACAAGAAAGGACAGGATGTTACGATGCAAGTGAGAAGGGGAACAGAAAATGTACTGTGGCATATCATGGGTGGGAGATCTTCCCAAGGATTACAGTGAGACCAAGTAGCTGCAGCAGTTCTCTTTCTGAAATCCACTGACTCTTGACTTTAAGAAACATGAATGTTTTTACACCAGCTTTGCAAATTTTCAGATACTGGTTATTATAAGCTCTTGTGACTGTGGCTAGAGGGAAAGAATAGAATGCAATTATTAAGACATAGTTAGGTTTCCAAATGCTGTTTCAAAATCAGGAACAAGAAGACAATTAGAAGTTAATAAGCTAGGAGAGACAACTATTCTGTTGCAGTCTTATCTCATCTTGTCTCGGGTTGCTGTTGCAGATATGAAATGATGCTCTTGTCTGCTATCAGCCACCCACCAGACTGCTGTATCTTTCTGTGAACAGTTTATTCCTCATCCGAACTGCAACTCAGCCAGGCTCTTACAGTATACTACACTTACTGTGTTTATAGCTATGTAGTACTCTTTTTCAACAAGATTACGGGAAGTCTTCTAGCCACTTCTTATGGTACCCAGTGCTTATCCTTATGGCAAGAGATTTCCAAATGTGATAAGGATCCATTGTATATATGCTATATTTGCTTGTCTGCTTTCCAGTCTGTGTCTGATGTCTTTCCTTGCAGATGTGTCTTTTTGCCTGACCAGGGAGCCTTTTTTGTGAACTATGTGATTGCCTCTGCTTTCATTGGCAATGGGATGGAGCTTCTGCGCCTGCCTGGCCTCATCCTTTACACCATACGCATGATAATGGCCAAGTCCACAGCAGAAAGGAAAAATATTAAACAGGTATTAGAGCCCCTCCTTAGCAAGAGGAAGTTAAATGACCGATCTTTATCAGAAACAGTGGGAGCCCCCATCCTTCATAGCATTAATTATCATCTCCTGTCATTTTTTTTTTTTTTTTGCCTTTGTTTCAGTCATCCAGGGCAGGTTCATATTCCCTTTGTTTGCAGCACAGATAACGGGGAGGTATTTATTCAAGTCAGAGATGGTCAAAAATCAAAACCCAGGCTCTGAACTTCAGGTGTTATTCTTTTCATAGCTTCAAGTCAGAGTTTTATGATTTGGATTTTATAGGATAATTCTGATTTTATATTATAAACTTCGGGTTCTTTAAAATTGAAATCTGTCTATAGTTAGTTTCTTCCATCAGCCCATAGGTGTGTACAATTTACTTTAATCTGAACATAAATCTAGAAAAATATATATTTATGGTCTACATTCCATTTTAAGTGGTGGACTTGCACTTCCGGATGATGTGTCATCTTGCAACTTGAAATTCCAGGTGTTACAACAGGAACTTAAGCCTGTATAAAGATGTTCCCATTCTCCTTTTTCTTTTTTTTTTTTTTTTCCTTCTGGTGTGTGGGTTGCTTTTTTAAAAGACTCTTGTAAGCATTTATTTCTGTTAACTGTTGCCTATTACCCCTTGCTCTGGTTGAAATTATTTATATTGATTTCCTCATCCCAAGAGGAAAAAGTGGGAATACTGACCACACCAAAGCTTTGATATCTTGAGCTTTCC